TGCTGCCCACTGCCTTCCCCTTCCCACTGTTTCTGGTGAGCTATCGTCTCACTGGGAGTCAGTGTGGGTAGGTTTGAGTTTACCTTTCTTGTAGTTCATTGAGTTTCTTGGATCTGCTGATCAAAGTTTTTTCATAAAGTTTGAGAAGAATTTAGTCAGCATTTGGTCGAACACTTTTCTTCATCTGGTGCTCTCATTACATGTATGTTGTGTTTTTCTGTTTTTGTTTTTTTAAGAGAAAGAATTTATTGAAAAAAGGAAAGATTCTGCCTTAGAGGGATAGAGGGGGACCAGACAGTGGGTTGCCCACCAAGCCCGCTTCTCAAAGGAGTTTATTGAGCAAAGCCACAAGGGGAGATGGGTTTAAAGTGGGATAGAACTATAATCAAACAAGATTACAAGTACAGTGGCTTAGATAATATTGATTCAATGGCAAGTCACAGGATGGGTGTGAGCTGGGACAAAACTATGGTCAAATAATAAGTGTAAAGCAAATATAGTCACTTGGGTAATATTGATTAAATGGGGCTCAAATGGGGAACAAGCCATGTAGCAAATTCTTAAGGGCAGACAAAGAACTTTCCTGGAAGGGGTGGGTAAGGAGATTTGGTCATGGATGACTGACTCTTCGAAGGTTCCATATGTCTTGAAGACCATCTTTTGACTTCTTCATTCTTTTCTCTTTCTTTCCTTCAGATTACATAATGTTGACTACCAGCCTCAAGTTCACTAACTTACTCTTCTGCCACCTCAAATATATTACTGAACTCTCCTATTTTTCTTTTTTTCTTTCTTTATAGACAGGATTTCCCTGTGCAGTTCAGGCTGGCCTTGAACTGGCTTTGTAGCTCAGGATGGCCTTGAACTCACAGCAGTCCTCCTGCCTCAGTCTCCCAAGTGTTGGGATTATAGGCATGTATCACAATGCCTGGCTCTATTTTTCATTTTGATTATTTGAGTATAGCTCTTTTCAACTCTAGAATCTTCATTTGGTTCTGTTTATAGTTTGTTATCTTCCTTTTATCCAGTACTTGAGGTTGAACCTAGAGTTTTTGCATTGAACTACATTCCCAGCACTTTTGTGAATTTTGAGACAGGTTATCGCTTAACTGCTAAATTGCCCAGTCTGAGCTCAAATTTTCAATCTTCCTGTCTTAGCCTCCCAGAATGCTGGGATTACAGGCAATGTGTTGTCATTCCTGGTTTATAGTCTATATCTTTTGTTTAAAAGGAGGATAGTTTGAATTTTTTATTAACAGTAGATTTTATTACATATTGTTGTCATACATACATATACTGTTCTTTAATTCTTCAGACATGGTTTCCTTTAATTCTTTGATATTTTTTAAATGGTTGATTTGAAATCTGTTAAGTCCAATATCTGGGTCTCTCCAAAAGCAGTTTCTCCTTTCTTTCTTTTCCCTTTCTTCCTTTTTTCTTACTTTTTCTCCCTCTTCCTCTCCTCCTCCTTCCACTTCTTTTTAAAAAAATTCTTTGAACAATGTCTTGCTAAGTTGTCCAGGCTGACTTTGAATTCATGATCCTCCTGCCTGTCTCCAGTGTAGCTGAGAATGTAGGCTTAGCTACATGCCTGTTTCTAAAAGCAGTTTTTATAATGCATCTTGGCACCCCTAAACCCCTGTGTACGTCACACATTATTTATTTTTACCTCTCCTGATTTTGTTTACAATTGGGCATTTCTGGTAATACACTGTAGCAATCTTGGAACAGACTCCTCCCCCACCTTGGGGGACTGATGATGCTGTTGTTTGCATGGTTGTGTAGTGAGTGACCTGTCTGAACTACTCTGTAAAGTTTATTTCCCCTGTAGGATGCAGTCTCTGATGTTCCTGCTCAGATGAGGGGGTGGTGTTGGTCTGATTTTATGTCATTCTCACATCAACATAAGCCATTTATTAGTGAAAGCTTGGGCTTAAATCCCCTCTGCCAGTTTGACTTGACTCTGTCACTGGCTGTATAGCTTTAGGTGCTATCATAGCTCACAGAGTATAGGTTTTTGCCTTAAATCCTCCTCTAGGGATTGGACTTTCCCTTTCCAGTCATTCCCAGGAGGGTGAGGTATAGGGTATGCCAGATTGCCAAGGATTTGTGTGGTTTTATTTTAAATCCTGGCTTTCTAGGGGGTATCCCTGGGTCAGAGCAGCTTATTGTTGTTCATAGTGTGGCCAGAACTGGTGCTGAAGCTGTTGGGCTAGTGAAGCCTTCACCTTTTGCTGATTGATTTTTTAAAATTTCTGTCTATGAGTTGCTGTGACTGCTTCCGTGTAGATGCAGCTGAGCATTCATGCACAGCCTTCATGACTCTGAGGTTCAACTGTGATTCTAGGAGAGGTCTTCCTGCCTGTCCTTTTTCTATGATTCTGTAAAATTACTGCTTTGTGATTTGCTGGCTGCTACAGTATTACAGAACTACATGCAGTCTCTGAATTGCTCTCTGCCCAAACTGCGGTCATTTTCAATGACACCCTTGGGCGCAGTCTTTTTCCACTCTAAGTAAAGTCATTCCCTTTAGGCAGCACTATATTATCCTTGTTACAATCTGGCTCCTCCCCTATAGGCAACAGTTCTGGGCTTTTATGAAAATAACTTTGATTTTAAATTAAGAACAACACATTGGAATTTCCAAAAATTGTATAATCCTTCCCTTTATCTCTGTTTTCTCTTATTGCTGTGGTCTTAAATTTTGTCTTCCCAAAATTCTTATTGAAAATTCTATCCCAAAATTGAAATTCTTACCACTAAAGTGATATTAGGAAGCAGAACTTCTAGAGTTGTGAGAGAGAGCTTTAAATGAGCCACCCAGTAATGATATTTTTGTTATAGTAGTTTGAATGGAATGCTTTGAATGGATTTCTGGGCTTCTTTCAACCTCTAAAACACGGAAAAACACTTTACCATACTGGAGTTTCACACATACTGTGTTCTCTGTGATGAATGTCCCTGTTTTAGCTGTTTGTATAGCTGACTCCTGCTTCTTCAGGGTCAGCCTAAATGGGATTTTCTTTAGGAAACCTTTCTTGACCACAATGGTTAGAGTAGCCCATGCCATTACTGCAGAACACTCTCCTAGCACTCTACTCGTTTCATGCCTAGCATTGGCATGGTCTGTGATGGTGTTTGGGTGTGTGTCAGGTATTTCTCACCTGCAGAGGAAAGGGACGTAGCTCACCACTATGTACCTAGCACCTCACAGAGGGTTGAGCTCAGGGGCAACCCAGTTGTGTTTGGTACATAACTATATGGATCACAGATTTACCAGACACCCCAAAGGCCAAGGCTCTGTTTTGGAGCCCAAAGACAAACTCCTAAGTGCTTTAGTTATTAAGAATCTTGTGACATTTGTTTCATGGCTCTGTGACCCTCCATGCCTCATTGCACCTTTTGTACTGGCATTACCTGGCTTGTGGCTTTGTACTTGCTTTATTTATTGTGTTCAAGCAAATCAAAATGTCTCTTAGAAAAAAAAAAGAAAATTTACACTTATTCTATGAATTTTAGATGGATAATCTCTAGACACTCTAAAAATTTATAAATAAGGCCTAAAGAGCCATTCTGTGTTTTCACTGATGCACACTAAGCATTCAAAGGATCTTTATTCCCAACAGAAGCAAATCAAAGAAACAACAGAAGGTCAACTTCCTGAATAGCAGAGTGAAGACACTAGATTTTCTTCCCAATAAGAAACTATTTAACTGGAGAAAAGTATAAAAGAAAAAAATTTGAAATCTCTGGAAATTGTCCTACAGTCATACAGCAAATGAAAAATATTCCACCAATGGAATTAAGAAAATAGAATAGTAAGAAAGGTAAGTTTATGACTACTCAGCCTTTAATACCCCCTCCCTAACAAAGTCATTTTGTAGAAGCTACACTAGGGTTCTAAGCTAGAGGATACAATCAAGATGGGTCCCTCTGCCCAGTCTCCAGTTTAGAAGACATTTCCCACTGCAAGGGCTGGCTGCCAGCATCTATCATCCAGTAAGCATGGCAGACCAAGAATCCCACCTCAAATCACACACTGGTAGGGATTCCACACGGGAGAAGCAAGCTCAGAAGTTCCACAGTTCCCACTCTAGAGCAAGCTGTCATTGTTAGCAAAGAGGCTGCTGTTTCTACTTTCAGTTCCTATGAAGTGCAATATTGAAAGGAAGGGAGTAAATGGGTGTAGGGAGGGACAGAACTGGGTGGAATGAGGGACAGAAAGGCACCGTCTCCTCAGTGGGCATCACTAGAACCTAGTAACCAGCTGAGGAGTGGTGGCCATGAGGAGCCTGTGTAAGGAGGCTGACCTGTTCAGGATCCACTGTGATGAAAAATGGCCCCTTGTGCCAGCTCACCTATTCCTCCATTAATGAGCAAACTTTAGGCTTCCATTCAAAGGTGTCAGATAAAACAATGTCCCAGGAAAATTTTTGTTTCAGAAAGGTAACTTTCAGGACTGGGTAGACGATGGTTTGAATAAAGAATTCAAATGAGGTTCACAGGACAAGTCTACTGGCTTATACATTTTCTGTGGTTTATTCGGTGTTAACTGTTTTTTTTTTTTAAGTGAGTAATCTTAAACACTAGAAGACTTCATATGAATTTAAATTTTTCTGTTGTCCTGAGAAACTTGCAGCTCTGATGGTACTAAGTCCACCAATGCCTATGGACTTTGGAGCCATGGAGGCTGTTCCTCAGGTGAGGCCTGGGCTTTTCAGTTCACCCTGTGCCATTTCCTCCACATGTGGTCCTCAAACCTCAAACCAATGCCACACTGTGCCTCCTTGGCCTCTGACAGCATGTGAGACTGCACAATAAGAACATCTCAAAGCAGAGACAGAAAAGTGGGGTCATGAATGACAGGTGGGGGACAGGGCGAATATATACTGGCTGGGGTTTCTAAGGAGGCAAGTAGTTGGGGAGAACAGAGGAGCCTCAGAGGCAGGCGGCCGGATGTGGGTCTCATTTCAGAGAACAGAGAAGCTGTGGAATTGGGTGACTTCGGTCAGGGTGTAAGCAAGGACAGAGCTGATTAACACAGAACCTAGAAGTCCAAACTGCTCAGTGGAGGATGTGACTCAAAATGGGTGAGCAATTCACACATACAAGGGTTGGGGTACTGGACCTTCTGGGATCACTGAACAGCCTAGGAAGCTCTCTGGGCTGAAACTTCTTTTATTGGCATGCCACTGTTCAAGAAAAACATAGACATTCAGTCACATCAAACTTCCTGCTGCTAGTGATAGGCTGTCGGTGACTTTCTACGTCCCACATAGCACTGAGCACTGTTGAGTACTCTGTAACTAAAGTGACAGGTATACTATTTTTCCATTTTTTGGTTTTTGAGACAGGGTCTCAGTATGCAGCTCAGGCCAGTCTTGAATTTACTATGTAGCCCAGTCTGGCTCGAACTCATAGTAATCCTCCTGCCTTATCCTCCTGAGTGCTAGGATTATAGGCATGCACCACCATGCCTGGCCACTGCTATTTTTAGAAAAAATTAACCTAGAGAAATGCTTAGATCAGTGAAGAGAAAAATGTCATATAGGGAGGAAACAATGTTAATGGCTAGAATAAGATCCATGGAACTGCATGCATTCTATGAGACAAATGTTCTTGGACAAACACTTTGACGAATGAGTTCCACTTAATCTTAAATTCAGTGCTACTCCCAAACCTAAAAGAAGACCTTCATCCAAATAACCCCACGTTTTCATGGCTCTACACACAGGAACTCAGCATGGCCTGCAGAAAAGGCTCTGTTCTGAGCTCTGAGGCTGATGAATGTGGACAGCAACTGCACAGTCCAGGTACCTTTGCTTGCTTCACACCCAGACCCCTGCCTGCACCTCTCCTGTGCTCAGAATCTTTGTTTCTGTCATACCAGAAAAAGTGTTGTTAGAGATCCTTGTGTGTGTGCATTTTTAAAAAGGGAAGGGCTCAGAGGGAGGGATCTAAAAACAGCTAAGGCCACACTGTTGCGCCCAGACATGACCTCCTCACATGGGAAGCCAGCTTGTGATGGGCCTTATGACACTGACCTCACAGATCAGCTACTGCACTGTTGCTCTGTAAAGCAAAGCTGCACTCTGAGGAAGGGAGGACAGATTTAAAATGTCCAGTGTCCACAGCTTACCTCTGCTCTCAACTACCCCTCCCAAATGGGAACAGAGCAAGCAGCCAGAAGACAGATTCATAGAGCAGTGTCCATGTATTTCCTGTGTTTCAGCAGTCAGAAACCATTCACAGGACTTTGAGTCTGTGCATTTCTGGGCCATGAGGGTGAGGCCTGAACCATGCTGGAAGGAACAGCTGAAATCTGTGCCAGATGCAACCACATGCCACAGCACATTCTCAGCAACATGAAATCATACAGATAAGAGGTCTGTTGTTCCACTATAGCTGTATCATGTTGGAAGTGTAAAAGTCCAATATGAAGTTAATATTTGTCTTTCAGGAGTTTTTCTTCCTGGCTCTTACCAGCTCAATGTCATATTCTTGTGCACTGGATAGTATTCCAAAAATTAAAAAAAAAATACACATCTTGTTCATCTGAAAAGGCCCCAGAACATACTACAAGGGAAGCAAAACTGTTGGTGTGTAGAGGGAGATTTAGGAAATATAATTTAATTCCTCTTTGAAAATTTCAGTGGCCCTCCCCCACTTTTCAAAACTTCCCCTTCTTTCATTCACTGGCTCAACATCCACAAGCAAGGCAGCCAGGGAAACAGCAGAGGGTGTGTGTGTGTGTGTGTGTGTGTGTGTGTGTGTGTGTGTGTGTGTATGTGTAACAGCAGAGGGGTGTGTGTGTGTGTGTGTGTGTGTGTGTGTGTGTGTGTTTAAGAGAGAGAGAGAGAAAGCACGAGAGAGCAGGCGAGCGTGAGCGCTATTAAGCGACCCTGTGGGATGTTTACGCCAGTGAGGAGGCAGTTCTTAGCAGTCCACCAAGAATTCCCGGAATCAGAGTCAAGCCCGGCTGTTTTATTCTAGGTCACTGTCAACTGCAACCTCTGAAGATCAACAACTATCTTCCTCTCCACTTCATAATCTCTTAGCCTCAACCCAAAGCAGAAACAGAAAAAACTGAAGAATGAAGTGCGAAAATAAGATGAGAGCGTCACAGGGAACAGGAGCCGGGGTCGCCAGGCGGAGTCCGACCCCAGTGTGGGGAACCTGGCGCTCCGGAGGGAGAGGGAGCCAGGGCCGGTGGAAGGCGGGCGGAGCTCGGCAGCGCCCCAGACGGGAAACCAGAGACAGCAGGACATTGTGTTCTTCTCCTCAAAAACAACCAGCGAGGCGCTCCCAAAGTAAACAGTTAATCCTGTTGTTTATCGTTTTAACATGGTGAGATGTTAACAGCACTGTTTCTGCTGCACAGAAATGTGTTTTTTTCTAAATCATTTAAAAATCATAGTTTCTCTTTGTTGATATGTTGACATGTAAACTTTCTAATATCAGTGACTAGGAAGGAGTAACAGTCTTTCTTCTGAATCTTAATTTAAAAACAGAGAAGGGCTTTGTCTGTACTTAACATCCTCTTTAGCTCTGAAAAACATGCATTGCTGAGATTCACCACCACCTGCTGCAAATTCGGTTTTTAAGGAAGACACAATGAAAACCACTGACATAATCAGTGCTAGCCTGGACCTTGGTCTTTCTTATTGCTTTTGGAGGTAAGACCTCATGCACTGATAGTAGTTTACCTAGAGAAGAAATTTTTAAAGATACCTTATTCTCCCACCCCCAAGACTGAAGCCAAGGCCTTCATACTGAGCTACATCCCCAGACCTACCTACCTTCCTTCCTTATTTTATTTTATTTTGAGGAGTGTCATAAAATTGCTAAATTGCCCAGCTGGGCTTGAACTTGAAATCTTTCTGCCTCAGCCTCCTAAAGTGCTGAGACTACAGGCATGTGCCACCATGTCGCACTGCTTTGTGCATTTTCATTAATTAAAATTTATTTGAGATTATAGTCACACAAAACTGTAAGAAATACTACAGAGAAATCCCATGTACAGCCTGCCCAGGCCCCCCAGTATATACTATACAGTACAAAATCATAGGGTATCGCCACTGACACAGTCTACCTCTCTTGCTCACGTTTCTTTACCTTTTACCAGTATGTAGTTTGATATGGTTTCTCTAGTTTTGTCATTTGTGTAGGACCCTCCATCCTCTGCCACAGGCAAGAAACTAAACAGAGCTGGGTGCGGTAGTGACAGCTATCGTATCATCTTGGTTACTCAGGAGCCTGAGGCAAGCGTATCATACATGCGAGGCCAGGCTGGACAACCCAGTGAGAACTTGTCCCAAAATAATAAAACAAAAAGGGTTAGGGATCTAGCTCAGTGCTGCCTGGTTTCAAGTCCACTCTTTCCCACAATACTGAACAGACGTCACCATAAGGGGTTTATAACCTATCTCCTTCCATTCCCTCACTTCACTGCCTTCCCTAATATCCAGAAACCTCCTTTCTAAAATTTTGTCATTTCAAAAATGTTATAAAAATTGAACTATCTAGTATGTATATATTTTTATAAAATTCCTTGGTTAGTAATGTATGCTACAAGTCTATTATTTTATAAAAGCTTTACTGAGATAATAATTTACATACCATAAAATTCACCCATCTTTATTGTGGCAAAATACAAAATTTAGCATTTAAATCATTTTAAGGTATACAATAGTGGCATTTGAAATGTTCTACAACAATCAACACTATCTAGTTCCAGAATATTTTTATCACCCTAGAAGGAAACCTTAATCCAGTAAGTAGTTACTCTCATTGTTTCCCCAGAGTTGCTGGCAAAATTTTCTGTCCCTATGAATTTGTCTAGTATAGATATTTCACATAAATAGAATCATGTAATATGTGGCCTTTTATGTCTGGCTTTTTCATTTAGCACAATGTTTACTATGTTTATCCATGCTGTTGTATGTACAAATGTTTTATTCCTTTTTGTTGCTAAATAATATTCCATTAAATGGACATACCACATTTATTTATCCATCAGATGATGTTCACTGTTGTTTTTCATTGACAGTAAAGCTGCTATGAACATCTGTGTAGACATTATGTGGACATGTTTTCAATTCTTATGGATATATACCTAGGAGCAGAATTACTTGGTTATACGGTAACTCTGTAACTTTTTGATGAACTGCCAGCCTGTTTTTCAAAGTGGTTGCATCATTTTACATTTTTACAAGTCCCACACTAGCATTTTAACTTCTCTGCATACTCCTCAGCACTTGCTCTTCTTTCTATTACTGCTATCCTACTGGGTGTGAAGTAGATTTCACTGAAGTTTTGATTTGTATTTCCCTAAAGACTAATGATAATGATCATCATGTTCTAGTTGGCAATTTGTATATCTGTACTGCAAATGCTTATTTGAATCTTTTGATCATTTTAAAATTTGGGTTATCTTATTGCATTGCATTCTTGATATATTTTGGATACAAGTCCCTATCAGATATGTGCTATGCGATATGCAAAATATTTTTCCATCCTGTGGGTTCTCTTTTCATGTTCACACCAGTCTTTTGAAGCATAAAAGTTTTAAATTTTGAAGTTCCATTTATGTATTTGTCTTTTGTTGCTTATGCTTTTCATATTATTTTACAAGAAGCCACTGCCTAAAAGAAGCCACTGTAAAAGTTAAAAAAAAAATGAAAATGAAAGAAGCCACTGATTAATATATAGGGCAATGAATTTTAGCTATTTAGGTCTTTGACATACTTTCCATTAACTTTTGTACATGATATAAAGCAAAGGTCCAGTTCTTTTCTATGCGGATATCCAGTTCTCTCATCATACGTTTCTGGAATAACTATTCTTTACTGAATTATCTGGTATACCTGTCAGAAATCAATTGACCAAAAATGTGAAGTATTACACACTCTATGTATGTATGTTTGTTCAGTATTATTGGGGACTGAACCTAGAGCATTCATTGAGCCACATTCCCAACTCTTTTTTATCTTTTTTATTCTGAGACAGGGTCTCATTAAATTTCCCAGGCAGGAACTGAACATGTGATCCTCCTGTCTGTTTCACAGAGTACTGGGATGGCAAGCATGTGCCACCATGGGTTCTTTTTTAAAGAACATATATATATGCCAGTAATATTGAAAAAATAATGTCTCATAGGATTATACATCTTTAAGAAAGAGTTTGGAGCCTCTGGAAATTTTAGTTGACTGTTGGCGAAGAGTTATATGAGCACATCTTTATTCCTTATACTACACACTATACTGGGCTGCTAAATGTGTGCAGGCCCAGTGAATACTGAGCAATCTAACCAACTAATATCTCATCTCCTCTATCCTATACCTTTATACTGATTAGACACAGGACTCACATTGCAGTCGTGTGCTTCTCCTTCTGTGTGTTCCTAGCAGGTGTGGCCTTACCATTCTTCCATTCACTCTGTCTCAAAATCGAGTACTCTTCTCTTTTTGTCACATCTGGTTACCACTGTCTGTCCATTTTACAGTGGTGGGGCTGTATGTGTGAGTATGCTGGGGATCAAATCCCAGGGCTCACCTAAGGAAGCAGTTTACCACTGAGCGATACCCCATCCCCGTATTATCTTACTGGTCTCCTAACCTCTATTCTTTCCCTTCTTTGTCTTCTTTCATGGGTTGCTGATAAAGTATTTTTTCCTAAGAGACACAGTTAACCATTTTGCTCACCACTCATTTACCTCTGAGAGTATCCCAACCATTCCTGTGTGTCCTGTGACACACAAGTGCTTGAGTGTATGGCGACCAAGATGCTACTCCATCTCAGCTCCCATCCATTTCTCTAATTGAATCAGACAGTTCTGACCACCTCCACTCACCTAATTGTCCTTGTTTTTCCAAGTCAAATTCATGCCATGCTTCTTATGAAGACTTCTGTCATTCATATGGTATAAATAAGTTTTCCTTTGTACTTAAAGTGATTTGTTTTTTCTCTTTATTTATTTAATTTTACAGATAATAAAACCCAACAAAACAGAATAAATCCAACCAAACAAAGCAGTGCAATTGGTATAGAACTTCAAAGCAGGATAATAGGAAAACTATGGCTACCACAGTATATCTTGTTATCTTCACAACTGTTGTCCATTCTATCAGATATAGCAAAATCAAACCAAAACAGAATAAAACCAATTAAAACATTATAGAATAAAGCAAAACAATCAATCAGAACAAAACAGTGAGAGCAATATTAGATTTCTAAAACAAAATAGAAGGAAATCCCCTATATTTACTAGGTTACAACTATTATCCTCCCTATAGATGCTCAGACAGCTAGGCCCAGGCCTGCAAAGTTAACCAAGCAATGCAAGCATTCAGTTGCTTTTTGTATCTCAGTTGCTGTCAACTCAGTCTGTCCTCCAAACCAGCCAGTTTCTTCTGGGAGAGGGGGACTTTGGTGATTCTCAGCCCATAAGCCAGTAGGTTCATGCGAGGTGCTATCTGACTTTTCTCTTCTGAGCCCTGCATGGCTTTTGCAGCTTACCAGAAAGGCTGGCTAGCTGGATTCCAGGTGGGCTCTTCTAAGTCCTAGCATGGCCAATTCTTGGGAGGCCCTTTCTGACTCCTCTCTTCTTGGGCCCCACATGGCATGTGCAGCTTACCAGAAAGGCTGGTTAGTTCTTTCTTTTAGTTAGCACATTCCACTTTATATTATAGCAATTTGAGTAAACCTTTTCTCTTTCTTTTTATCCCGGAAGTGTCTTGGTGGCATCAATCATATTTATTATTCTCTATATATCTATCAGGGCCCTGTGCTTAGAGATTTGTGCATTATAAATGATCAATATATGCTTGTTGTACTAAGCTGAATTAATCAAGGGCATTTACTCAGGCTTTATGGGGAAAGAACATATGAGATGTAGTCACTTCCCTTAGGGACTAATAGCAGATTTAATATAATTTATATATAGTTCATAAAGTGAGACCTAAATATTGCCACAAAGTACAGGTTTAGGAAAAGAAGCATTAATATCTTAGTAATGTCTTTTTTAAATTTCAAAAGGAAAGAGAATAACTTATCATTGAGGTGCCTGGCAGATATCACCTTCACCAAATAATGTCTTAGTAAAGTTCTAAATTAAAACAAGGACAATGAGGAAAAGGGGATAAAACAGGAAAAGAGTCTATTATAAGAAAGTTTATCATTCAAAATGTGTCATTCAACTCAGGCAATCTGAGTAGACTGTGGCCATTTTCCACTTATTTTGTCGAGAACTCACTTCCAAATGTGGTACTCTCATTTTTTCTCATTACTGAAAGATAAAAGAACAGCAGAGTAAGGAACAGGACACTAACGATAGGGCTTATGCTTTG